TTCTAGCTCTCCCGTGGACTAGTCCCGATCTCGGGAAAACCACGTAAACAGTGTGTCTTGTTTCCTTCTTCGTTTTCGTATTTGATCAGTCAAGAGTGATTTGATTCCAGCTAACATGGTATCAGAGCTATTGTCTTTGGATTCTGATAGGGTTTCAGTTCGGTTGAACTCGAAGAACTATGCGTTATGGGAGTTCCAGTTTCGTATCTTCATCGAAGGCAAAGGCCTTCTTCCGTTTCTGGATGGTACGTCTGCGTGGCCTCAAGTTCCGCCCTCGTCTGCTGAAGAACTCGCCAAATGGGTTCAAACTGATGCTCGAGTTAAGTCTTTTCTTTTGAGCACAATTGATCCAGTTATTAGTCTGGGTCTTCGTTTGCTTCGTTCAGCTAGGGATATATGGGTTCATCTCGCCCAAACCTACACAACTTCTGATCCTGCTCGACAGTTTGAGATCACGTTCGAGTTGGCCCGACTCGAACAAGGAGATACGGATGTGACGTCGTACTATAACGCAGCGCAATTACTATGGTCAGAACAAGAGCTGTTAACGACTGCGTTGTTTTCATCTACTGCTTCGGCAGAGGTCATTCAGGATCGGCAAAGAACCCGCATGATAAAATTCCTGAGTCGTCTGAAGCCCGAGTTTGAGTCGGTTCGGGCTAATCTTTTGCAGCGGGAAAATTTGAAGATGGATGGAATTCTGGCTATTCTGGTTCGCGAGGAAACGCGTCTAAGGATGCAAGCTCAATTGGATCTTCGCCCTGGTGCTGGCGAAGCGGTGTTCGCGGTAGCTGACTCGAAGGAAGCTGGGGGTTCTGTTAACAAAGGCCCGACGCCTTCTGTGGGAGATGATGAGGTATATGCTGTGTCTCGACCTCAGTTTCAACGTAGCATATCGGAGATCGTTTGCCATCATTGTCCTCAGCCTGGTCAATACCAAAAGTATTGCAAGCAACATAATTTTTGCGTATATTGCAAGAAGAAGGGCCATATCATTACAGATTGTAGACTTATTCAGCCCAGTTCGTCTGGTTCTCACTCCGCACCGCCGACTCCACCGACAGGTGGTGCCTATGCTGTCCGCCCAGCTACTGCTTTAGCTCCCGCTCCTCCACAAGGCCAATATATGAATGTAGAGGCTATTGAGCAGCTTGTTAACTCAGCCCTCCAGCGCTCGTTACCCACTGCTATCACAAGTGCATTTGCTACTCTTCATCAGGCTGGTAAGACTCTTCCTTGGCTTTTGGATTCTGCATGTTTTAACCATATGATGGGCAATACTCATTCTTTTACGAAGTTACAGTCGGTTAAGTTGGGTTCTATTCAAGCTGCCAATGGGCAGCGGCTCGATGTTGCAGGCATAGGTGATGCTGAGAAGCCTAATATGCATCTAGCTAGTACATTATGTGTTCCAAATCTAGTGCCAAATTTGGTTTCTGTTGGCCAATTAACTGAGCAAAATTTCTGTGTTGTGTTCAATCCTTCTGGTTGTATGGTTCAGGATCTGAAGACGGGGAGGCAGATCGGAAGGGGGAGTAAACATGGAAGAGTTTTTCAGCTCGAAGAATTGTCGGGTCAACCTTCGTTACCTCGGTCCTCGTCTAGCCTTGAGTCTAGTTTGTTGCCAGTCTTTTCTAGTTTACCCAATAATGGGTTTGAATTGTGGCATTCTCGGTTAGGTCACCCTCATTCCAGTCGGCTTGTAACCATGTTTAAACAACAACTTTTTGGGAATAAGAAGGTTGATTTTTCTTTGGGGAATTTTCAGTGTACGAGTTGTGTCGAAGCTAAATCTACTCGTAGTTCATTTCCCTCTAGTACTACGGTGATTTCGGAGCCATTTCACATTGTTCACACCGATCTTTGGGGTCCGTCACCTACAGATTCCCGACATGGTTACAAATATTTCGCGTTATTTGTGGACCATGCTACTCGATTCACTTGGGTATATTTTCTTCGTTTAAAATTCGACCTTTTGTCTGTTGCCACCGATTTCGTAAAAATGATTCAAACTCAGTTTGGTAGGACAGTCCGTGTAGTCCGATCAAATCCTGGGGGGAATTCAGTTCTAACCCGTTAGCCATTTTGTTTCGTTCTCAAGGTATTTTAACTCAAAAATCGTGTCCTGGGGTGTCTCAACAAAACGGTCTTGTCGAGCGTAAAAATTGTCATGTCGTAGAGCTTACTAGAGCTATGTTGTTGGCTTCTCATGTCCCCACTAGGTTTTGGCCTGAAGCAGTTGCTACTGCTGTTCGGTTGATAAACTACCAAATTACCCCTGTTCTTGGTCAACTAGTCCTCATTTTGCTTTGTTTCAAAAACATCCGGATTACTCCCGTCTTCGAGTTTTCGAGTGCACTTGTTTTGTGCTTCTTCCGCGCAAAGAGAGATCTAAGTTATCCTCGAAAACGTCTAAGTGTGTATTTCTCGATTATAGCGATATTCATAAGAGGTAATTATGCTACGATCCATCATGTCAACGTCTTCGTATATCTTGTGACGTAGTATTCTTCGGGCGTCTTATGTTTTATTCTAGTACCCATGAGGATGCGTCTTTTCTATCTGAGGCGACCCGACTTCCTATGTTCGACGATGATGAGGAAATGGAAGAAGACTTACTACTCCCCCCCCCCCCCCCCCCCCCCCGACTCGCCTGCCCCTCCGACCCTGGATTCCAGCTCTTTCGACTCCTCTTCGACAAGCTCGTCCCCGGCCTCCACCAGCAGCTCCTCGTCTGCGGATTCTCCACCCTCCTCGCCTCCTGTACTTCGTCGATCGCTTCGGGCAAATAAGGGCCAACTACCTATACGGTACAATGATTTTGTTTCCTATCATGTTGAGGCTTTCACTATACCCACTTCATATAAACAGCCAATGCTCAACCCCAATTGGAACAACGCCAAGCAGACTGAGTTTGATGCCCTTCATGCCACGGGTACATGGGAGGTAGTGGATCGGCCTCCAGAGCAAGTTACGTTTCTTGGAAATCGGTGGGTGTATGTCGTCAAAGTGAAGTCGAATGGAACTCTTGAGAGGTTTCGGTGGCTTTGGTCAAGAGTATGGTCTCGACTACGACGAAACTTTATCTCCGGTGGCGAAAATGCAAACAGTCGGACTCTTCTTGCAGTTGCTGCTATTTGTGGGTGGCCGTTGTTTCAACTCGATGTTAAAAACGCATTTTTGCATGGTGATCTCAAGGAAGTGGTGTACATGTGACGTCCATCAGGGTATACTGTTGGGCGTGATGATCAGGTTTGTCGGTTACGTCGATCTCTCTATGGTCTCAAACAAGCACCCCGTGCTTGGTTCGAGAAATTTCAGAGTACAGTTCTGGCACTTGGATTTCGGCAGAGTAGCAACGATCCTTCTTTGTTTCTCCGGTCTTCTTCTGCGAGCCTCATTGCTCTTCTTTTATACGTCGATGATATGATCATCACTGGGGATGATGCTATAGGAATTAAGAAGCTCAAAGCGGCACTTCATGCGTCATTTACGTTGAAAGAGTTGGGCTCTTTATCTTATTTCCTTGGGCTAGAGATTATTCGATCATAGCAGGGCATTCTTTTAAGCCAAAGGAAATATATTGGGGACTTGTTATCTTCGTCCCAATTTGGTGATTGCATTCCCGTTACTAAACATATTGAAGTTAATTTTCATCTTGGTCGTGACTCGGGAGTTCCGCTTGTTAATCCATCTCAGTATCGTCATCTTGTTGGTAGTCTTATCTACCTCACTCATACGAGGCCCGATATTTCATTTCCCGTCCATGTGGTTAGCCAGTTCATGTTTGATCCCCGGGTTGATCATCTCTCTACTATTCATCGGATACTCCAGTACAGGGTACACGTGACATTGGTCTTTTTCTTCATGCTACTGGGGATCTTTTGTTTACAGGCTTATTTCGACTCTAACTATGCTGGTTGTGTTGATACTAGATGCTCGACTACAGGGTGGTGTGTTCAGTTTGGCGGTGCTTTTGTTAATTGGCGGTGTCGGAAACAGGATAAGGTCTCCAAGTCATCGACTGAGGCTGAGTATCGCGCTATGTCGGATGTTGCTTCCGAGCTTGTTTGGATGCAGCGCCTTCTTCTGGATCTCGGTGTTTCATGTTCGTCCCCGATCACTCTTCATGTAGACAACACCAGTGTTATTCAGATAGTAGTAAATCCTGTTTTACACGACCGGACTAAACACATCGAGATACACGTTCACTATGTACGTGATCTTGTTCATGAGGGGTTTCTTGTTGTCCGTCATGTTGCTTTAGCTGACCAGCTCGCGGTTTTATTCACGAAACCTTTTCATCGCTCGCTCCATATGTTGTTGTCGAACCAACATCAATTTGAGGGAGGCTGTTAGCGGTTTTGGACTGGATTGGGCTTGTATGATTTTGTTTGGTTGGTTTGTGTTGGCCCATTGTTATAGTAACATGTACGTAGGAGTTTGTGGCGGTAGAAACCGAGCCCTAGCATGTGACCACGTGAGCTAGGGTTAGACAAATATAGATACATGTAAACTGACGATGTATCGACTAAAGGAAAAACCTAATAAGATCATCAGCTCGGAGAGTTCTAGCTCTCTCGTGGACTAGTCCTGATCTCGAGGAAACCACCTGTTATTTAGCGTGTTGGTAGTTTACTTGAATCTGGTAAAACCAAATTTTGCAATGTTAGTCTTCAGCTTTCATTTCAACACAACTGGAAAGAAGATGACAAAATATTGGTCGGTATCAGGTTTCGGTTGATGGCCACTTGCCAGTGCCCAGTGGGATTCATTTGAAAGGCTACCACTGCAAGCAGTCTGCAAACATTGAATTGAAAAAGTGGTGTGTAGGCAGGCAGAGGGGGGGGGGGGGGGGGGGGGGGGGGGGGGGGGGGAGAAGTAATGGGCCCACGGGTAATTGGATGGCAGAAAGGATCCGTAGAAGAAATTAAAGGGGCAAACTTATATTCGTTTCGTTCCGTTCAGTTCATGACCCCCTTGCGTTGCATTAAATTACCCCTCCTCCATCGTCTTCCTTCCTTCCGCACAAACGTAACTAAACTGTCTCTTTCTTTCTTTCTTTCTTTCTTTCCTTGTGTTGTGTCGCCATCTTTCATGACCTCATCACACCCTCTCTTCTTCTGAAACATTATTTCACCTTTTCCCCACTCTCTTCCACACCATCCGCGGCGGCGTCGGTTGGCAACCATGAAATCGACGACGACGACATTGCTCATCTTGATGATCATCTCGATCACAGCCCTGCTACTCTTCCTTTCTTCCTCACCACCCGCTCCTCCTCCTCGTCAACAACATTATTCACCCATCACCATCCGCCGCCATCTCCTCGATACCTCCTCCACCGAGGTCCCTAATCCTCACTTCCACGACCACAAAGATACTAGTCCTCTTCACCACTCCAAGAAACACTACTACTATTACTCCGACTGCACGGGGAGCGGCAGAACAAGGGCGGGCGTTTACAACTCCCGATCTCTGTGCCTTGAGCTTCAAGAAATCATCCACTCCCTCTCCCCGCCCCGCCGCCGCAAGTCGTCGCTAGAAGAAGCTGCTGCAGCAGGCCGTGGTTCCGGTGGCGGGGGAGAAGAGATCGACCCCAGGTACGGCGTCGAGAAGCGCCTGGTTCCTTCCGGTCCCAACCCGCTCCACAACTGACCAAGAAACGGCGGGGTAGCATTGGTATTTCGCAGCTCCGCACTGTCCATATTCATCTCATCCTCGTTTCATTACATACTACTACTTTTTTGTTGTTGTTCCTACTACGAATATAGCCATTACTAGTAGTGCTTCGTCGCAGTGCTCACTGTACGACGGCTTTTTGGTGCTTTTCTGCTCATTAAACCGCGGCGTCTCCTGTCCTGCTACAGCGTCCAAGGAGGAGATGGCAGCGGTAACCGTGGTGAATGGTGATGACATCATATTGTATAAGGGGAGTCTTCGTTTCAATTTTCCTTGGGCATGCACCTTTCTTCTACCTAGCTAGCTAGTTAGAAATTACAACTTACAAGGTCTTATTAATTAGGGAGGCGCCATTTCCGTGCTTGTTTTTTTTCCTTTCTTTTTTTGCTACAAAAGAAAAATGGAGACAGCCAATGAGAAGAAATAGATCTAAAACAAGCAGGGAAATGGTGTTGCGACCCAAACGATCAAGAGATACACATGAGTTCCATTAATTCCTTTTCTTCCTCCCCGCCTTTCTTTTATATTTTAAAAAATTTACACAAAACGCTATCTTTTGATGGCCGGTGTCATGTGTTGCCGACGTTGGCGTACCATAATTTTGCGCTGAAATTGTGCTTTCATTGTGATTTTCAACTGTTTCACACCGCCAAAATCAATTTATTAATTTGGATTTTTGTTGGTTTCACAAACATTATGTGCCATATATATACGTGATAGATATAGTTTCTCTCCGTCCATTATTCACTTACTGCTCCTTGGATCTCCATAAAATTAGTCGAATTGGCGGGGAAATTTGGTGTACGAGATCATGCATGGTGTCACGATTCCTCTATCGCTAGATTAAAATTGGGGGAGTTTTAAAGTTTAAACTCTATTAAGCATAGTGAACGACTTGGTTCATGCCTTATCAATTTCCATGAACGGATGCTTGGATTGGATCAACCTATGTTCAATTTGATTTGAATTTTTTGGTGTAATTTCATATATCCTCAAAGAGTAAATTAATGTTCGAAATTGGCCTTATATCAAGTATAAAACTTCGAGTCCATCAGATTCGTCCCATCACCATGACTGATGACACCATGATGCTAGCCATCCTTGTACATCATTGATTAGTTCCTAATTAGTAATTAGTTGTCAGTCTGACTCATCATTGTTAGTAAGGGTTAATCATAGTAGGCGTGAGTTAGCAGGATAGAAAGTAGGGGTGGCTATACGGTCCGGTCCGATTAAATTGGCCCAAATTGATCCGGTCCAGTTCGGTCTTTTTGAAAATATAAGGACCGAAGATGGGATTGGATACAGTCCGGTCTTGATCCGGTCCGGTTTTGATCCTGTCCGGTCCCAATTCGGTCTTGATTTTACATTGAGATTGTGGGATTTGAGTGGCCTAAGGCCTTAAAGGGTGAGGAGTTGGTTAAGTTTTGTACTAAGTGCAAAGGTTTGTGACCGTTTATGCAAATTACCCTTAAATTTTGGGTGTTGAGCTCTCTTATCCGGTTTTTTTACCTCAAATCTAAGCCCAAAGATTGGATTGGATTGTTTACTATCCGGTCCCGGTCCAGTCTCGGTCCGAGTTATACGGTCCGATTTCCGGTTTTTAATCCGGTCCCGGTCCAAATAGCCACCCCTAATAGAAAGTTATAGTGGAGCTTTAGCTTATAAGTATATTGTCGTTGATGAATGAAACCAGTTTATCCTTTGTGCAATATCCAATATGATAATTTCTTAGCTTAGGAGTTATAGACGTAATTTGACAATGTTCTCGCCATCAATGAGTCTCTACTCGAGGGTTTCGAGTTATTTATCCCTAATATGGAGGACACAAAGATAGTATGCTACAATTTGTATCAGAGCTCAAAATTATGGAACCTACCCTACTTCAACATTTCCTTATTTGCCTTTCCATCTCCATTAGTTAACCTGATTTTGCACTATAAATATAGTTATCATTCACATTTAATTTCATGTCCTACTCCTAACACAAAGACATCATTCTCAATTGCTATGAGAGCCCAAAGGGGTTAATGCTACTACTTGCTAGTATGACTTGCTCGTAAAGGGTGAAAATTAGTTTCATGAAGTCTTTCATCCAAAGTACTCGTTTCCTAATTAATGAATCTGACAAGAGACTTTAGTATCCCAATTCATAAAAAAGAACGAAACGACATAACCTGAAAGTTATCCAATCCCGATACACATTTATCCCCTCATATTATGTCATCCTCCTCTAAACCGATCTTCCATATGCTGTCATATCAAAAAAGATCTTGAACTCCCGTTAAACTTCTCCATATCTAACTTGAACTTCCATTCGCCACTAACGAATTTAGCTTGGATTACCGAGTAATGATTAAAACTATAATTAGCTGCAACACCAAATGATCACACACTAATGACATGATTACATAGCTTTAATAGTTCAATTAAATTTTAACACTGACGGGAACACTGAGACTGAGACCAGTGACGGTGAAGCACATTTTCCTGACTGGCTTCCTCTGCCAATCCGCGTCTGCCTGAAAAAAAAAAAAAAAAAAAGAGAAATTAGAAAAGAGAAGACAACGAATTGGAAGCGGAAAAATAGGAAAAGGGAAAATTAGTTAGTCCCATTTCTTCACTAATACTAGCCTCGATCTTCTTCCCCAACGAGCTTCGATCATTTTCCCTCCAACAATGGCGCGTAGATCGCTTTCCGCCAGTCTCCTCCACTTCCTCTTCGTCTTCGCTCTCTTCCACACTCTCGCGCTCTCCAAAACCCTCAAACGCGACGGTTAGTCTCCAGATCTAACTTCCATCCCCTTGGCAAGCACCGACGAACTACTTCTGGCAACTGATTTCTTGTTTCTCGTTTTGGCGTGTCCCGTTTTTTTTTTTTTTTTCTTCCTGTTTTTGTTCCGGTACAGTGAAGGCGTTGAACGAGATCAAGTCGTCGCTCGGGTGGAGAGTGGTGTACGCTTGGGTGGGAGACGATCCATGCGGCGGCGACGGCCTCCAGCCTTGGTCCGGCGTTACTTGCTCCACTCAAGGAGACTACAGAGTCGTTACCGAATTGTAAGATTGCTTCTCGTTTGCATTTTGTTGTTTCTAATCGCGGGGGAAATGTGATTCTGATTGATGAACGATTCGCAGGGAAGTGTATGCAGTGTCGATCGTTGGTCCGTTTCCTACCGCCGTGACCAATCTGTTGGATCTCACCAGATTGTAAGCTCAGCTTCCTCTTTGTTTGGAATTTCACTTCATTAGCATGCTTTCTGTGTGTAAAGGCCTCCACTTAGCTTGTTTGGATTACTGCTTTTGGGTTTCTGAACTTGAAATGTTTCTGCAAAATTAGGGATTTCCATAACAACAAGCTGACAGGGCCGATCCCTCCACAGATTGGAAGATTGAAGCGTCTCAAGATACTGTATGATATAACAACCCCTCTTTGCATTATTTGCTTTCTGATCCGATTTTGGGGAATCCTGGACTAGTTTGAGTTCATTCATGGTCTGAACTTCCGTTGCTTTTGTTAAAAAGGAACTTGAGGTGGAACAAATTGCAAGATTCCATTCCTCCTGAAATTGGTGAACTTAAGAGTTTGACACACTTGTGAGTAGTATAACATTTTGCACACTTGTCCTAAAATTATGAGACCCTTTTCCCCCCTCGATGCAAGTTAAGGTAAGATGTGGCATGCTGCAGGTATTTGAGCTTCAATAACTTCAAAGGAGAGATTCCGAGGGAGCTGGCTAATCTCCCTGAGCTCCGGTACCTTTACTTGCAAGAGAATCGGTTTATTGGGCGAATTCCTGCAGAATTGGGAACCTTGCAGAATCTTCGTCACTTGTACGTCGCCACCAACTCTTGCTATTCTTTCTATGCTGTGTTGAGGTTGGCTTATTTGTGCTTTTCTTTTGTGCAGGGATGTTGGCAACAATCATTTGGTGGGCACCATCAGGGAACTAATACGTATTGAGGGTTGCTTCCCTGCCCTTCGCAACCTGTAAGTACATACGATACTGAAAATTATCAATTTATTTTGGGATGCCCTATAAGAAATGTGAATGTGACTCATTTGCATATATTTTGGTGTTCTTGTAGCTATCTGAACAACAATTACCTGACTGGAGGAGTCCCTGCACAGCTTGCTAACTTGACAAACTTGGAGATCTTGTAAGCTCAATGCAATCTTTCATGTTTAGTTTAGCTAACAACTTGAATGAGTGTCTTATCATATTTACTTACTGCTGAACTCAGGTTTTTCTTCCAGATTCATCTTACCCTGATTTGTTTCTTGCAGGCACCTGTCCTCCAATAAAATGACTGGAGTAATACCTGTTGGACTTGCTCACATTCCGAAATTGACCTACCTGTAAGTAATCCTCTCTGGGTTCTGCGTTCCATCATCTTTATGAATTAGTTTCAGTCTGAGCCATGCTTCTAAGATAGTAAATGGAGAGGAGAAAAGAGAGTTGGATTTATATTCGTTTATGGAGTAGGGATCCCTTTTGTATATCGCAATTTGATGTTTTGTTGATTTAATTGCAGGTACCTGGATCACAATCAATTCACAGGAAGAATTCCTGAAGCCTTCTATAGACATCCATTCTTGAAAGAAATGTGAGTTCTCATCCTGCATTACAGACCATTATATTTCCACAAATCTGAATTCTCAGACTCAAAATATCTTCACAATGTACTGAATATCAATCACTTTACAGGTACATCGAAGGAAGCTCGTTCAAGCCCGGTGTAAACCCGATAGGCATGCACAAAGTCTTTGAAGTATCTGATGCAGATTTTGTAGTTTAGAAATCCAGCCATTATTGAATTCATTTCTTTACCCACTTGTTTCCCCCCTCTTGTTACAAGCCTATACATAGAGAGAGCTAAAAAATGGAATGTCATGTATGAAAAATTCATGATCATCCCAATGTAGACTTCGCACTAAATCAGTCTTCAGAGGCCACAATGTTGAAGTTGAACTATGCATATCATAATTGTATTGCAAATTTTTGCCTCATTTCACTGTCAAGTGGTGGGAGAAGAAAATTCTGGCTCTCCCGCAACAAATTCACGAACCGAACCACCAATCTCGATTGAGCTGCTACCTGGTGACTTCTCCACCCCTCGGTCCCTCATCATCTTCCTCACTCTCTTTGCCTCATCGTGCTTCCCAGCTGTGGAATACAAGTTCGAGAGCAGAGTGTAGGCCCCACTGTGACTTTCCAATTTAAACAATCTCTCAGCAGCAACCTCGGCCAGTTGTGCGTCTCCTTGGCTGCAGCAAGCATTTAGAAGTGCCCTCCATGCTATGGCTTCTTCAGAAGAACTGCTAGAAGATGGCATTCGTTGGATTATTCGTTCGGCTTCTTGAAGAAGACCTTCTCTGCTGAGAAGATCAACAATGCATCCAAAGTGTTCACTCTTGGGCTCTAGTTTGTACTCATTACACATCTTGTCTAATATCATTAACCCTTCGGATACCATGTTTGAATGGCTGCAGGCAGCTAGAATGGTCAAGAATGTGATGTCATCAGGCTGCAACCCAGCTGCTTCCATCTCCGAGAGCAGCTTAAGTGCGTTCTCCCCATCTCCATGGATCGCCACCCCGGAAATCATGACATTCCAACAAACGACATCTCTATCACGAATTTCATCGAACAGGTTTCTGGCCAGTGCCAAGTTCCCACATTTTACGTACATATCTACCAGTGCCGTGCCCAGACGGGTACTAAGTTGAAATCCAGATCTAGTCAGTTGTCTGTGAATCCACATTCCCGTGTCCAGAGCTCCCAACTGAGCAGAGGCACTGAGAATGCTCGTAAATATTCCCTCGTCTGGCTGAACTTCAGCGAATTGCATCAACTTGAAGCGATACAAGCACTCCCTGAAACAGCTGTTCTGAACATACCCGGAAATCATGGCCCCCCATAGACCTCGATCCTTGATTGGAGCCTGATCAAAGAATAATCTCGCCGTATCAACTTCCCCCGCTTTAGCATACCCAGAAACCATTGTCGTCCAAGACACGACACATGGGCTAGGCATTTCATCGAACACTTTGCCTGCAGAGCCCATACTGCCAAACCCAGAGTAGAAGAGAATGAACGAATTCCCCACGACGGTAAAACACTGGAGCCCTAATTTCAGGCAAGACCCATGAACAGCCTCTCCATTACAACGAGATTCCAGCTTCGAACAAGCTTTCAGCACGTAAGGAAGCGTGTAATCATCCGGGTACATGGCGTTGCGCCAAATGGTGGAGTAGACTTGGAAAATCTTGGAGAGGTCGCCATTTTGCAGAAGACACTTGATCGCCGTGTTGCAGATGCAAATGGTGGGGCGGTGAATGCTCTGGAAGAGCTTCCAAGCGTGGTCGGCGGCGGTGGTGGTTCCGGTCCGAAGGCGTACCTCCGCGCATAAAGCTAGAATTCTGCTAAGAGCAAAGGAATTGTGGCCGAGGCCACAGGCGATTGCTTGGCCGTGAGCTTGCTTCAGTTGGTTCAAGCTCTTGCATTTCTTCAGAAGGTTTAGGCATCTTGTGGAAGGGAGAAGTGACATGAATCTCCTCGAGATAGCTCTGCATTCTCTTTTTCTGGCTTACAGACTCATAGTTGGCTAGGCTACGAATTCATTCGAGGTGGGACAATTCCCATAAAATATATATACTTATTTTTGTGAATAACCAAAGAAGCCACCTAAATGGTTTCGTCTTCGGTGCACTATTTTTTTGGATGAATTTTGTATTTGACATATTGAGGTTGATCGAAGAATCAAATAGTTGACCATTCCGTTGAAAATGTCGACCTCTTGGTTTGCAGGTCTATTGGATATGCACACACCAATAGGTATTTGCTAGACCGGCCGACCACTTTCGAGTGAAGATGCTAATAAAAAAACTCAACTTTTATTTCCTTCGACGACCATGTCGTGTAAGTCAATTAGATTGGAAAAACAAAATGTCAATAATTTAAATATCACAAACTAGATTCTACATTGCTCACACAATCATAGTTGTACAAACATAAACAATCGATATTGCTCAATCCACAATCATAGTTGTACAAAAACATATAGTCTACAATGCTCAATCCAACCCCCCCCCCCCCCCCCCCCCCCCCCCCCCAAACAACCTTAGAATAGTCCACAAATAGCTCATATCCAAAACTATAGGTGTCAATCGGGCGGGTTCAGTCGGGTTGCGGGTCAAGCGGGTTGGGGGGCAAGCGGGTTCGGGTTGATCGGGTTCGGGTTGATCGAATTGTGGGTTGATTGGGTTCGGGTTGATTGGGTTGCGGATCAATCGGGTTGCGGTTCAATCGGGTTCAGGTTGATCGGATTGCGGGTTACAACAGGTCGGGTTGCGGGTTGTTCGGTCCAAACCATCGAGTTTTTTTATAATTAGTTACTACACTAATTTAAAACAAACTCAATGATCACCATATTGCAATGAAAAAAACATGAAGATACAATATTAAACAAATGAGTGACTAGATTTTGCTTGAATATATCATAAACAAGTTTGATTTTGCAGAGGATTCATTAAGGTTACAGAACCATCATAAGAAATTAAAAAGCTGATAACTTGCTTGATCATAAACCTATGAAACAATCTCTTGAGTCTTGATAGTTGAGACCATTACATGATGTTTAAGCAAATATAATAGAATGAAATACAGAAAAGTACATAAGGCTCCATTAATCTTGAAGATTTCTCTTACTGCACATCTTAAGATGCATCCACAGTGAAACTGTCCCATTCTTATTAGGATAGCATCCAAAAACCTTCATGCAATGGTTTCATTGAAGCTTGACCTCCCCCTCTGATTCAACTTGAGTGAAATTCTCCCAAATTTTGCGTCTTCTAGCCCTGGCGTCCATTGCTTCTGGAAAAAAGAAATGAAAAAAGAATTACATAATCAATCAAACAACAAACACAATAACATGACTGCTGAAATTTCATCTAGGGGTGGTCTGCATGCAGGTTTTTAATTTGAGAGGTTTTGCATACAGTTGACACTCTTGACAATTGTATTGGCAAAGAACTACTACCAATAATTCAATCTCTTTTTCCAGAATTGAGAAACCCTCACTAACGAAAATGCTACAGCTCACAACAAGCCTATCAATGAACTTCTAAGTCCTAACTTCTAAGTTCTAACCACCCTGTCCATGTAGCTGAAACCAAACGATCCCCACAAGTTTATAAAATGTTGAAACACTGAACAATAAGTGAATGGAGTTGAAAAATCAGTATAGAAATATTGGACATCAAGCGAATCAAATTAGGGATTGCAAGACATAATTCACCAAAGATACTAATGCATACATGTAGATTAACATCCATGTTATAGTTGTACTTCAGAATCATCAAACAAGAAAGGCTAAAATTTTTAGATTCATTCACTGTGGCTTGTTCCTTAGTCTTGTTTCATAGTCGTGGCTTTTACAAAGTGCCAAACACTAACTTCAAGATACAGCCAAACCAAACCCCTGCTGCTGAATTTTCCATCCAGCCAAATAGCACAATCATCTGGTTCCTTATTTTCTTTATTTTTTTTGCTTTGTTACAGAATGACGAGGGAAACCCGGAGCCGGCAGCTGACGACGAGGGATACCTAGCCGCTTCCGCCTCAACCACGCCGCCCCGCGACTCTCTGCTTCCGTGCCGTCCTCTGCTGCGTTCTTCTTCCGCTTCCTCTACTTCTTGTTCTTCTTCCGCTTCCTCTGCTTCTTAATTTCAACCACGATTTCGTCAATAACAACAACGGCGGCGACAACAAGGCGACGGAGGGGAAGGAGAAGGAGAAGAATCGCGTGGGAAGACCGATTGGGAGAGAGGCGCAGAAAGGGATAAGGGAAAGTTGCCGAGACAGAGAGAGAAGGCGCAGGGAAGACAGATAATTTTTTCCGATTTTTCCTTCTCAATTGATTAAAAAAAAGAAAAAAATATTGTTAATAATATTTTTTTGTCACGGAAAATTAGATTGGGAAGGGAGGAAATTTTAAATTTTGGATCAAATATTGGGGGAGATGGGAGGGAATTTTCAATTTTGGATCAAATATTAGGGGAAGGGGTTTATGGGAGGGAATTTTTTAAAAAATGAGTTTGCAAGGGAATTTTTGAGAAAATATTTGGGGGGGGGGGGGGGTGTGGGGGGGGTTTGAATTTTGCATTCAAAAAATTTCCATAAACATCTAGTTCTTCCTTTCTTTGATATTTATTATTATAGATGGTAAATTTTATACCGATTAACTAGTTTGTTGTTCGATCCGTTGGTCGGAATGTCATTTGAATATGATATATTTAAGATGTAATTGTTAAAATCAAATTAATTAATAAACTATAAAAATCAAAATATCCAACATAAAGCATAACCATGAATAAACCCTATACCCTATACTATAGTTATATGTTATGAAATTGTTAGTATAAGCTATAACGTATGTTATGTGAAGAATGTAAGTTGAGTCAATTTTATATTCGATTATTGAGAAGAACATACGTCCTATGACTCCAAACTCTAAACCACGAGTCCACTACCGTATGCCCTATACACTAACCTTAAACCATGAACTATAGTTATGTGTTCTGAATTTGTTGGTATAAAGTATAAACTATAACGTATGATATGTGAAGAATGTTAGTTAATTTAATTTTGTATTCAGTTATTGAGAAGAACATACGTCCTAATCCTCCGAACTCAAAACCACGAGTCCATTACAGTATACCTTATAATCATAGTTAGTAAATACTCCGTTTAATAACACGTTTAATATCCGTATTTAATGAAATAAATTATTAACTTTACTATTTTTTACATATTGATTTATTTATAAAAGTAATTAGTTTGATATATTTATACCTATTAACGTACTATTAAACGTAACATTAACTAAGAGACAAAGTATAATACCCGTAAGTATTTTATACGTAACTTTCCCGTACCGTATTTTACTAACTATGCTATACTTTTTAGGCCAAATACACTTGTATAGCCAAAACTTTGACGGTTTTGCCAAATATAGCCACTTTTGGAGAAATACCAATAATAGCCAGATTTTTGAAAGTTTGATGACAATAATAGCCATTTCCGTTACATAATTTAACGGCGTCAGTGACACCGTTAGTTAAATTAACGGAACGCTGACTTGGCTGCCAACTCACCCTCTATTTCATTTCCAACTCAGCACTCACACGACACGTCATTTACAAAAATAAAAATAAAAAATTCGCCCTATCCCTATTGACCTAATCTCTTCGAACCCTCTTCTTTCTCCTCCAGCAACCCCTCTTCTTCTCCATCAAAACCATCAGCTGCCACCGATCAGTCCTCGCCACCGCTGCCAAGCTCCCAAATCTCTCTTCCCCTATCGAACTCCCCTCCCCTGTCTTCACTCCCAGAATTTCAGCAGGAAGAGAAGTAGCGGCGTCGGGAGCTGCTGGTATTGGTATTTCAGCAGGATCTCCTCAAAATGATGCCTCCTCAAAATGGTCCAATTCAAAACCTGGAATCCAACACTAGGATCTCGCCGATTGAATTGATTCCACTCTGGGTCCTCTCTCGGCTCTACCCATCTTCTTCCTCCTCTGTTGCCGCTAGCGGAGAAGAAGAACCGATTTTATGGACGAACTCGACTCACCCTCTCTTTCCACTTGATCCGTGCCACCGACGATGAAGAGGATGTGATGTGCGGAGAGGTGACGGCGGCGTGGATTTGTGGAAGTTTGGTGGCGGCGGGGATTGGGGATTAGGGATTTGATACGAGTGGCCGCAAGAGCTCGCATGCAGTGGAGAGCCTCGGTGATTCCGCCGGGGCCGTGCTCCATGTCGACGAGCACAAAATCGTCGCCCGCGAGGCCGGCGATTTCAGCGAGGGTAGGGGAGAAGCTGAGCAAGAAGAGTCCGTAGAGAGTCTCCCCATCTCGGAGTCGATTCTTCTGAGACTTCCCCGAACTGGAGACGACGGATGCATCGGAGGAATCGTGGACTGGAGAGGAGAGATCCTCCGAGGAGCAGGCAGGAACAAAGTATCTAAGAGGAGCTAGGGATTTGAATGGGGCGGCGGAGGAACTGGCGAGGAAATCGAAGTGGACGGTGGATTTGGATTTGGAGAGGCAGAGCAGGGATTGGGTCTTGGAACCTCTACTAAGGGTTGACGGGAGGAAGGTGGTGAATGGGGCAGATGGATTGAGAGCTCGCATTGTGGAGATTGGAGAAGAGGAAGCTTCTGGTAGGAAGTATTGATGAAGGTGAACAGGCGGTGGTGGTGGGGAGAAAGAGATTTATTTTTGTTATTTTTTTTTAATTTAATTTGATTAAAAATATAAGTATAAAATTTTAATTATTTTCCATCTAACATTATTTTTTAATAAAATATGTCACGTCAACCACTGCTGTTAGTCCAGTCAGCACGTTAATTAACACCGTCAAACAATTGGACGGAATTGGCTATTTTTGGTATTTCGCCAAAAGTGGCTATATTTGGCAAAACCGTCAAAGTTTTGGCTATGCAAGTGTATTTGGCCTACTTTTTATTTTAAAAATCAGTTAACAAAAACATGTGAGTATAATACCCGTAAGTACTCTGGTAGGCTTTGAACCATGTACCTTTAATTGGAAAGATCATCACATAAACCAACTAGTCCACGTGATTAATTTGTTACAATTCGAACTTGTTTTTTACTTGTTTCAACTGAAAAGCAGAGAGACCAGAAAAGTAAAACGAATCCCTAATACCCTAACCTCTCGTCTATCATCCAATATTCTCATTCTCTCGTTTGTTGCCGACCTGCGCGGCTGCGCCGAGAAGACGACACTCACCTACAGTCCTCCGTTGCCGCTAGATCGTCTCCGCCGTCGATCCTCACCTGCGCCGAGCAGACGCCCCTCTCCTACAGTCCTACGCCGTCGCTGGTGCCGCTAGATCGTCTCCGCCGCAGCTGCTGCCGCTAGATCGTGCTACCCTATTATGTGATTCAATTAAATGACAGTTTTTATTTGTCAACACAAAGTAAACCTTTGTTCTTGGTGGGAAAGATGAAAAAATAATAGGGCAAGTCACCTGAACTTTATATATATTATCTACATATAATATTTATGGACAAAAATATATTATGTAGTATTATTCGTGCCAATCGGGCGGGTTCGGGTTGGGTTAATCGAGTTTGGGTTAGTCGGGTTACGGGTCAAGCGGGTTGCGGGTCAAGCGGGTTGCGAGTCAAGCGGGTTATAGGTCGGGCGGGTTGCGGGTCGGGCGGGTTGCAGGTCTTTTGACTTTTAGTCCAATCGGGTTGCGGGCGAGTCGCGGATCGGATTGGTTGGGCGGGTTACTCAGGTCGGGTCATGTTTTGACTCCTATATCCAAAACCATAACATATAAAATCAATAAAAAATAAATAAAATAAATCATACATGAGTCCCTTTATCTCTCTCTTCTCAATTATCTACTTATTTCAGAATATTGGTACTAAAATTTTGATGCTCGGATGTAGTGTGATACGCATTTCTCCAGTATAAGATCACAAATTATCTGCATCTCATTCACAATCATATGAAATGTGCTCATATGGTTGGATCTTGAGGTCGTATAATTAGTCCTATTATTAACGCGGTTGCATATATATATCATTGAGAATATTGGTGGAGCTAGATTAAAGGTTGCAGCTGAAAGGTTGACCTGACAACGTGCATGATTGACTTGTTAGATCTACAGCTATTGCATGAACAAATAGCTTTGATGTTCTAATGCCTTTTCTTCTCCACCAAGTTCCAAAGCAACAAAAAATTGTATGAACAAATTTTAGAGTAAATAGTTAATAACTTAGACCGTTATTTCTAGAGATTATATTGATTTTAACTCGGGTTAAATGATAGCAAAGTCCTTATTTAGTGTTGAAACCTTTATAGTTACAGAATCTTGTTCCAATACCGATAAAATAATGTTCAAATGGTTGACTCATATTTTCCTTTGTTACTGTAGAGCGTCGTTGCAATATTGAAATCTTTTAAGTGGTGGAATCCTATTCCAACACCAACAAAGTAATGCCAACTAGTCGACCGTTTTATTTGAGAGCTCAAATAGGGGGCATGTAGGTGGATATCCATGGTTTGACATCGACCCTCCAGTAGATAACTCAAACCGTAGTAGTGTAGTAGATGGGTGATTGTTGTAAGTGGATTGTGGATCAATAAATATCCAACCCACACTTATCGGATGGGTGTTGGGTGGGTTGTGGGTCATCCGAATGACCCGCACTTCACTTTACATAAAAAAAATAGTTGTTTTTTATTTATACTAACGAATAATCATTGTATTTCTCAACCGACATTACACATTGACTATTGACTTTTACAGATAGAAATAAAAAATACTTTTGGGCTACTACTATTGGTCACTATGTTGTGTAATGTCAATTAGATATTGAGATACAAATTATAAACTATTAATTGTATCTAAATTATAAAAAAAAACCGTGAGCTTTCTCTACATGATAGGTACATAATAGGTTGATGAAGTAACTCACATATTCCCTCCCTCTCCTTTCAGTCGAGCAACTTCGAGCCCGAAAAGCGGGCGAAGGTTTATTATGAGCCCGAAAAGCGGGCGAAGGTTTAATGAAAAATTTGATACAAGTACTAGACATCTCCACAGGAGACAAATTTACGGGAGGTGTCTAAATTGTTACTCTCTTACTAATTTGCGATCAATTTATTATAAATGTTAGTCAACCTACTTAATTAATAGTTAAAAATTTGAGTTTGTGGGTTAGCCCACAACCCCACCGCACCTATCCGTCACTCACTCAACTCAACCCAAAGTATTGTATGAGCATATTATGGGTCAGTTTCAGAATGAAACCCACCCAACCCACCCCTGAGCTCAACCATTATTGTCCATTGCAATCAGTATGAACTTGGGACTTCCTCCATTACTGTCCATTGCAGTAAGGTAAGTATGGACTTGGGTTTTCCTTTCTGTTGGGTATGGATTAATATGCCTACACGACTATAAACGGGCCCAAGCCCACCGCAAGGCGTCCTGGGCCCAAGCCCACTCAAGAAAGCCCAAACCCTATATAAGGAGGCCTAACCCTCCAAACTAAAGACTCTCTCCTTTCCCTTCCTCACTTTCCCCTAAGGTCTCTCTCTCTACTTTATCTCTCTACATACCATACGCTCTCCTATATCGTACTAACTTGGGCGTCGGAGCGTATCCCGGGGGCCGCCCCCGCCTCACAGGTTCTTCCCCTCTCGCGGAGATCAGACGAAGGAGTCCAGATCGGAGCCTCACAACCGCCTAGAACATTCTAGGCACAAACACTTTCTTATTTCGATTTCTTAGTTTTGGGTAGGAAATACATTGATTTCTTGTAGTTGAGGTTATGGGAAGAAGACCCCTTCGGCCAAGTTAGAAATCCATTGTCATTCAATTCATGGATTGTTAGATTCTATTCTTGAAGACTAACTATGCGAACAAAGTCCTTAGCTTTACTGACACACAAAAGTCGGCTAACAATGCAACCAAAAAGGATTCCAGGCTTTCGCCTCTTGTTGTTCAAAGGGTATACCTTTACGAGGATGGGATTCTGAGGAACCCTCGAGCAATCTTGTAAAGAAGGCAACGAGATGCTTTCCTTGAGAATGGAGGCTTGTGTTATCCAAATCAAACTATGATAAACATGCTCTTTATGCCAGCAATGTTCTCAGGCTTCACCATCAAAATAACACAGCCAGCTAAGGGAAGTTTTCGGTTTAAATCTCAGAGCACAACTCTCTTCCAGAAATGGACTACCTGATCAGGCAAAACAAGGGGAGGGTTTCTGGAAAGCCAAAATCTGCAGCAGAGGGAGAGGCTAGCAGTTCCAGAGAAAGAAGAATCCCTGTGCAGAAGACCGAGTCCTTCAAAGGTAATATCTTTTTGAAGTTTTCATATCTCTTCTCTGAAATTGCAATCCTGGGAAGGCTTGAATCATAGGATCAAGCAAAATTGGTGGATTCTTGCAGAGAAAAAGAGGGTATGGTTCGGTAGACAGTTCTCAAGGCAAACCGATCGAGATTCTGATTCAATGGCGATTGACCAAGCAGCTGCTGTTGCTGCTGCTGCATTTGCCATTGCAGTTTCAAAAAGGCCAAGCTTTTCAGAACCTAGAAGGAAAGCATTGGAGGAAGCTCCTCCTCGACCTCCTCTGAGACGAACAAAGAGCGAAAGACTCGGTATTACTATTTACTAGTACCCCAAATCTCATGACTTAGTACATTATCAGATTCTCTAATTCAACTTTCTTCTAGACAAACTAATCAATCAGCTGGTGCAAATCAGGGTCTGTATCAATAAGAGATTCAGAAGGAACTACAGACGGCAACATTGATGATTACGATGAAAAACCAGCTGCAGAGGTTGTTGGTCCCGTTTCATCAATGAAAAGGACATCAACATTTGCTGATGTGCCTGCTTCCTCAATGAAGAAAGCTCCAAGTTATTCTGAAAAACCTGTTTCATCGATGAAAAAGGCACCATCCTTCACGAATAAGCCTGTTCTATCCATGGAAAGGTTGCCAACTGCAACCCAATTGCAATTGAACGTCTCGGATGGTAAGAGGAAGGAGAAAATCCCTGAATCACAAACTGAGCAGCACTTGACAAAACCTGAAGTTTCCTTAGCAAAACCAGATGGAACTCTTAAGCCTGTAATCCCGCCTTCTAAGCCTTCCAGAAGGACTGGGATTGGAGAGTCAACAGCAGATGCCTGGGAGAGGGTTCAATTGGAGAAGCTGAAAGAGAAGTATGGATATACGATATAGGAGTCTCTTCAGAGTTCATATGCTTTACTTTCCATTATTTTCTCCTTTCCCTGAAAAAAACAGCACATGACGCAGGTATGAGCAGCAAGATGACCAGATAGTCTCCTGGGAGAGCGAAAAGAAAGCAAAAGCCAGACGCCGACTTGATAAAACTGAGGTTTGCTTGCTTCACTATCTTCTTGTTTGTTCTTCAGTCAAACATAAGTTGTAGGGTTAGGAACTAACACAGTTAGTTGGATTTTTACAGAGTGAATTGGAGAGGACAAGGTTGAAAGCCTTGGAAAGATTTCGCAGTGACATGGACACTGTCACTCAGATTGCAGGAGGAGCAAGAGCAAAGACAGCTGAGAAGCAGAAGATTGAAGAGTTGAAAGTGAAACAGAAAGCAGATATAATTAGAAGCACAGGCAAAGTTCCAAGAAGTACATGTTTCTGCTTCTGAGTGTTGGCCACTATATGGCACCTTCAGTAATTTGTTGGTTTGAGGTTGAGTTTATAAATGTAAAGTCGTAACACTTCTTTCACGGATGTATATACAATATCTCAATACATTGACTATGTAAAACTAATTTCTTTGTGTTGAACAATATTGATAAAGAAGCACAAGATCAATTACAAGGAAAGAGGATAAAGAACAATATTCGCTGGCAAACATGAAACCTAAAGACTGCAAACAGCACAAACCATCAACTATAGTGTATAACACCTTAAGTCTCAGTTTCTTGACAAACATAAGACAAATCATAATATCGCTCCAGAAAATTCTCACTTTCAAAAAAATGTGAATCATGAATCATGAAACATTACACGGAGAACAAGAGTATATTGAACAGAATCCATCAATCAATATATCAGAATTCAACACACAAAAACATCAAGAAACTATCTCGGAAACAAGCCTAGCCAAAGTAGGGTAAGCAAAGTACAACACCAAGCAAGATGGTATGGCAAAAACAACAGTGACAATAAAGTAGAGAATCAAGATCGCCGAGCTGATGGGAATGGCGAAAAACACCACCAGAAGCAATACAATCGCCAATGGGAACTTGGAAGTGAAGTGAATGAAAAGGTCGAGCGACTTGTGCAAGGAGAAAAGCTGCTGCTGCCTCCCCACATTATTGTCACCTCCTCTACCACCACGACCATGCCCTCCAAAGTCCAACCATTGATTCTGCCCAGTCCTCCTGACCACTTCATTACTCGAAGACCAAACAGGTTGATCAACCAAAGCAGAAGATGACGAAGAAGAGGTAATAACCTTCCCTCTATCATCATTCAACCTCTCAACCATCCACAGAAGAAAGAAGTTCTTGCGGGGGAACCTCAAGCTTCGGTTGTACAACACTCGGAGTGATACCATGTGGCACCAGGGGCATGAAATGAGGAAAGGCACCTTGAACTGCTGACCGTGGAACTGCCAGTTAGTGCACTGAAGCCCCAAGACACAGTTCTGGCAGAGGGTATGTCCACACCATAACACATAAGGTACATTCTCGACAATGTTGAAGGATTCCCAACAAATTGGGCATTCCAATCCTTCTTCATCCTTGCTAGCATTTGAACAGCCATCGTCGTCTGAACACTCGGAATGATCCTGAATCGGCTCTCTAGGTTTTGGACTCCTTTTGAGCCCAATGCTGGCGATGGCATTAGAAGCAAATCCCCACATCTCTTTTGGTATTTCTCTGAGTAATCAATCACCTCTTACTGATCAAACCAAAGACCAATTAGACAAGCTAATACTAACAGTCCTTAGATTCAGAGCCATTGTCGTCAACAAGTAAAACTCTATTCCATTCCAAACTCACGCAACCATTAGTCACCATTGTTGCCCAAACAGAATCTGACCAAGCACTACACGATAAAAGAAAAAAACACTAATGAGTTAAAATCAATAATGGTTTAGAAAGCCCAATCACATGAACAAAAACTACAGAGAAGACAAGATAAAGACCGGCACGAAATTCCTAAACCAACCCGTTTCTGCATCGACCCAGAAGGAATCAAAGAGGATGGATTAATAAGTCAATGAAGAAAGTGAAACACAAAAAGGTGAAAACTTGGAGAGATGTTAAGAGTGGAGATGCCGAATTAGATAGGGAGCGGGAAGGTGAAGAAGAAGATCCGTGACAGAGTCATAGCGAAGGAGTAGATTGTGGAGAAATTAAAGGTGGAAGCTTTATGTTACCTTTGTCGAAGTCAGCGGATATTTGGTGGTGAGAACGAAAATTGGATCCAACACAGGAAAACCCAAAGAAAATTTCTTCGTTGCGGTCTGCTTCTCTTTTATCGTCCCTGTTTGGTCTGTGAAAGCTTACTCTGTTCGTCGGATCAACCGTATTCCATATCTTCTTTCTGGTTTTCATTTTCAATTCGCCCTGCGCGTGAGGAGCGTGTCCCACCGTCCGATTCGGATCGAGGCAGTAGTGATCCGGAAAAATTAGTGGAAACGAATAAAATAATCTTCGTGCTGCTCTCCCGACGTCAACTGCAAAACTGAACATTTATATGGGTTTGAGGTTTTATTTTTGACGGGTAATCAATCAATCAACAGTATAATTTATAACTGAAAAGTAAAACTGCACCACTCATTCAAAATTTCCTGCCCATAGAGTGATTTTAGGAAGTTGATGTGGCAGAGTATTAAGCGGGAAAAAAAAAGAGTTCCCGCCTGATTTCAGAACCAAAAAACTGTCCACTACCCACCTTTTCTCCTGCCAGGCCACGTTGTCATTTAATTTGTATTTATTTTTTATTTCCCAGGAAGGAAATGGTACACTGAAGAAGCGTGCAAAACAACAAAACCCAGAGGCAAAGCTCCTTCCTTTTCCCCTTCCATAAGTTCATTTGTTTTTTTCTACTGTTATTAAGAGAGAGAGAGAGAGAAAGGGAATCGCAATTCCAATCACATTACAGAGAGAGAGGGGGAAAGGTGAAAGGGAGAAGGAAGTCGATTGTGAGGTGCGAGCTCCCGCCTGTGAACTACTCCGCCGCCGTGGATTTGCGCCGCCCCGGCGGCGAGGTTTGTGGAAGGGAACTGGATGGCTTCTTCGAGGAGGGCGGCGAATCAGACGGCGGATGAGGAAAATTCCGATTCCGTCCCCGATTGGGGGAAAGTGGTCTACGAGGCGATTCTCGATTGGAATACGGTGGTGGTGTTGGCGAAAGGGTTGAATCTGAAGCCACGGAGGGAAGTCGATCCGGCCGAATTCAGGTGCTATTTCTCGCTGAGCAACAATTTGACCAGAGAGGAGAGCTTCGTCTTCACCACCGAAGCCACCGCCGCGACTCAGGAAGTGGTCCGCTGCTTGCATCCGGAAAAACAACACCGCGCTTGCCGAAGGAATCCGCGTCACCGTCAGCCGCGTCGAAGACTCCGCCGTCTCCCCTGCCTCGGCCTCCCCTGCAGCTCTGCCATCGGTGGCGAAAGTGTACAACCCGAAATCCCACGGAATGAGAGGGAAAGGGGAAGAGAAGTACGAGCTCTGCGCTTGCACGATGCTGTGGAATCAAGCGTCGGTTTTGAAGGAATGGGTGATGTACCACTCGTGGCTGGGAGTGGAGCGATGGTTCATCTACGACAACAACAGCGACGACGGGCTACAAGACGTCGCCGACGAGCTCAACACGCGGAATCACAATGTCTCCAGGCACGTCTGGCCGTGGATCAAAGCGCAGGAGGCAGGGTTCTCGCATTGTGCTCTGAGAGCAAAGTACGAGTGCAAGTGGGTCGGCTTCTTCGACGTCGACGAGTTCTTCTACTTCCCTCACTACAGTGGCCAAACCCCCTTGCCAGGGCAAAACTCGCTCGGCGCCATGGTCTCGAACTACACCGATTAGCCCACGATCGCGGAGGTGAGGACAATGTGCCACAGCTTCGGCCCATCGGGGCTGACAGAACCGCCGAAGCAAGGTGTGACGGTAGGTTACACTTGCAGGCTGCAGGCTCCTGAAAGGCACAAGTCCTTCGTCCGACCAGACCTTCTCGACATGACGCTGCTGAACATTGTGCATCACTTCAAGCTGAGGGAAGGGTACAAGTCGACGAACGTGGCGGAGGGGACGGCGGTGATCAACCAGTACAAGTACCAGGTGTGGGACACTTTCAAGGCCAAGTTTTTCAGGAGGATTTCGACCTATGTGACCAACTGGCAGGACGATCACATGTATTTGTGTTGTTTCATTTGTTGCATCGTATATATTTTAATTCCAGGTCATGTGAGGATCATGCTAGCCTAGACAGGGATGGTTCCGCCCATATATGATTATGGTACACCCGTCTTAATGGTCTATTTCGATGGCGGATAGGCAATGATGAGGGAGGTTTGCGGATTTTGACCTTTTTTTTATAAGCTATTGTTTTGGTTGGTTATACCTCAATGTTTTGTTTAATTATTTCTTGACTCCTTTGTTCTCTCTTTGGAGTTACTCACCTTAATTTAGTGGAATCTCTTGGCAATTTTCTGATAATTGACTTGCTGCTCTCAAATGCACAGATTTGCAGGATGGCTTATGGCAATGCACCAGATGCTGCTCAGCTCAGGTTTCGATTATATCTTCCACCCTGCTATCAAAGTTGACCCTTGGCTTCCGAGATATTGAAGTCTCCTCTTTATGGTTTGGCTTTATTTCTTTCTATTTCCTGGCATGGTCCTCCAATTCTTGATTGTGGGTTTTAGTTCTCAAAATCAGGACTTGCTTTTCTTGCCATGATATGGCTTCAATGCATGAACCGCTTCTTTTGGTTGAGTTTTTGTTAGTGGTTTAAACAATTAGCATATTTTCTAAATGTAGGGTAATTTGGTGGGGGAGACTAATCAATTCTACATTTTCAGATACATTAGCCTACTTTCAATATGCAGTGTTTGTATGTATGATTCTAGAGTAGGGGTCTATGATCCATATGTCGTCTTTCAGGCCTGCACTTTCGGCTGATATATGTTTATCACTCCAACGAATGAAGCCTTACAAATTTATGGGGGTTGATGCTTACCCCGGGTGAGTTAGTCGGTGCATTTATGTCCTCTCCTCCCTACTGCTTTATTAGCCGTTTGTCTCACTTTTAGTCGTTCTGCTCTAGAAGGTGACCATTATATCATGTGTGATCTGATCAATTTCAATGTTTTTCATTCACGTGTTTCCTTATTACTAGCTCTATTCCCACACTTCGAAGCGATTAGTTTGAGCCTTCCAGTATATGATCCTATAAACTCATTTACAATTGAATTGTCAGTATAAGCTATTTTACTTGCATTATATAACGCTTTGGAGTTTGGGACATTTTATTCTTAAAGCTTTTAGTCATTTTTGCTATATGGTTTCGATTTTTTTATTTGGTTTAGATATTTATCCAGTTCGATCTGGCTTTCAAGTTGTACGAAATCAAGTCGGCTGAATCTATCACTTAAAAAAAAAGTTTGCTGAATCTATCTATTTTAGGAGTCAAAAGTTCTATTATCTACTTGAAAAAGAACTCTCAAGGCGTGTGTCTATTTCTTTGTAATAACTTGGTTTGTTTTTCCTAATTATTTTCTCTATCATTGTTGACATGGCCTGCAATTTCTCATTAACAAAAAGGACTATGCATGGTTTCCGACTCCAAACATGCTTTGTAGTGTCTTCCCAGTTCCCACCGCTTCGACATTAGTGAAACACAAAGCTCCTTTGCTATATCACCAACAAAGATGTTTCATTATTATCAAAACTACGCTGGTACGTGCCTAGACTAATTGTTCTTTATCAATGCCCAGTTAGTAACTTTGTTCTAATATGCCTCTTAATTTTCAACAACGACAAGTTTACAGTTTGTTCTCATTCTGTTCAACTTATCTTCCACTATGCTTTCAGTATGCCTCCTTTCGTTGATGTTTTATATGTTCATATGACAAGAATCGTTACCTCATTTTCATCATTGATACAAGATCTCTTGAGGGATCTCTTGCTATTATTTCATAGTAGAACCTTTAAATATACCAAACCAATTTCAGTTACAGACAATCATGTCACCAATTTACCTGAGAAATTTTAATGGAAATCACTGTGGTTTTTCAGCCAAACACTTGCTGATTTTGGTTATTCCCCCGTTGTTACTATATTTGCACTTTAGACACCCAGTTGTAATCTTCGACGATTCCAACTTCGTGTGGATGCTAATTCCTCAATCATGACTTAGTAATGATGTAGTCTTTAACTGATAATTTACCCCTCTTTTGGGTACATATGCACCTATTTTTGTTCACAAATTTATGTTTAATTTCACAGCCAAGATAGTCAACTGGGGTCTGGGTGCATTTCCTAATTACAAATGCTTCCCATCACACCCAATGTTCCGCCACCGCCACCATCACTTCCAAGTTCCAACCATGGGCAAGATACAAAACTCAACATCTTCATTTCACCGGCCATGGCCAGATCAGAAACCAAATATGTTAAGAGTTAGATAGATAAATGATGGATGATGTGAGCGCTTGACCGAAAGCGGTGAATTGGTTGGGAAGTTGCCAAGTTTTTCGGCAATAAGGTGGTCAGCCACCCTGCCGATGAATCAGACCCCATAACGTAACATTTAATACAAATAGCCTTGATTCTGCTGATGTTTCTATTTTTAGAATGTGAATTGAAATGCTGCAGCAAAAGTAGGAGAAGGAAAGATCAATATTTTGGCGGGCTAGGGCTGTAACTGAAAGTTGCGATGAGTTTTGATGTGCACATATATTTTCTATTACTGAAACTGCTAGCCTTAGATATTTGTGAAAGCTCTCTTTGAGAACTCAGAGTTGTCTGCTTTATTCATCTAATTTGGGCTCAAACAATTGTGCTAACCTATAGTTTTTATTGTCGGGGCTCATTCTCTTTTCACTGATAAATTGCCTAATAACAAAATTAAATTGACCTACAGTGACTTTTGTTTTCCAGGTTCTTTCACCGTGTGTGGTAGCGAATATGAAATATAACCGGTAGCATTTTGTTCTTTTTTATATTCACTTTAGAAATTTTACATGTTTTTTTTGGGAATTCAAGAGGTATGGATCCGTACATCGATAATAACAAATCTTATAAAGAAAAACAATTTAAGCAATTTATATTGAATGTAAAAAAGTATAAAATTTTCTTCTAAAATATAAAAAAATATAGATACCAGTAACCTAGGATGGCCACATCACCAGAACTAATTACTTACTAATATAAAATTCAAAAGTAACACAAATATTATTTTCCCTTTATGAATAAACTATTTAAAAGACTGTAAATTTTTTGAAAATATGCAAATTGGTTAATACAAAACAACAAAATATAATACAAAATTCATCCGACCAACGGGTCGGGTAAAAGCTAGTTTTAGGTAGGGTGGAAGTTTGGGTGTGGGTTGTGGATAATCTGCAAACCGCACCAACTCGTACTTATTGTGGGTAATCATATCCACAAGTTGTGGGTAGTGGGTTGGGTGTGGGTAGTAAAATAACGATTTTTGTGGTTAGTGGTTATTCACTATCCACCGCGGATAACCAACAAAATCCACAATAACCACACTAAT